GCTATATAATATAGTAGGCCGATGTGAACTATATCTTCGGAGATTGTAGCATTGCTTTAAACAATAATCTGTGGAATTTTGTGAAGATATCTTATGAAATAAGAAAGTTTTCCTTACTTAATTTTGATCGATCAGTTAGCATGGAAGRAAGAATTTGACGTGTTCAAAATTTCAGAACGATTTTCTCGTATATACAGAGGACAGATGGGTAAACAAATAAATCCGAGTGAAACGGAGCTCGTGACCGAAAGAAGTCGGGAGATCGGGAACAATTCCTTTCGAGACTGTAATTTTAATGACGGTGCTCCGTAACAATTTTTTCCGATTTTTTCTTCAATAGTTGCTGATACAGGGTACGTGTATTTTATATTCTTCCCGAGCCTCATTTTTTCTCTATATTTTTTATGGTCTTCGAGGTATTCTTCTGTTTGCTACAAACTTCGTGGCAAACTTAATACTAGCCTGTGCAGGAAATATTAAACATAAAATATTAAATACTTCTGCTTCACCTTGCCATACTGCCACATATATTCGGGACAGAAGTTCAGCATGTAGTTGATGGCTAAGTGCTTAGGTAATACAATAACCAGAAAACTGTCAATTCCAATCAAATCCGGTGTCTTTTGTATGAATGCAATGAACTCTTCAATAATCTCGCGATCGATTTTCGTGGATGCCAAGAGTGACTAAAAGAATAAAATTATATTAACTCATACGCACATGATTTAGTATACAGTAGAGCAACCTGTATCTTCAGCGTTAGCGTTAACAACTCGTTATGCCAACCTAAGAAACGGACCTCGCACTCGCCCTCGTCACGATTGGGAAAACTAAAGTCATCACGCCTAAATGGCGGCAAACGATTCAGATATTGTGGACGATCCAACAAGCAGGGTATTGGTCGTAAATATGTTTTAATGTGACGTTCAAACTCCTCGCCGCACAATTTATAGTCCGGTATGAATGGCACATAGATGAGCTTACGCTCCTYTGGTACGCTTGTCGGCTGTGCGGCGCTATAACTTGCTGATTTCGTGTAATAATACTGTGTGCCCGCGTTTTGGCGCAATAAATTACTTTGGTGTTGCTGCTGTTGTTGTTGTGCGCGTAGTTCTTGYAAATGCCGTATCATGAACTTAATACACTCCATACGTAAGCTAACGAAATCCTCATTAACAGGCTGTTGCTCAACATCGGCTGGCTGTAGATCAGTTATGAGATCACTCAGCGACTTCAGACGACCCATATACATGCGGAATAGTATTTTGAGACCTTTTAGATTCGTTTCAGCGTCGCTGCTAGCTTGTGATGAGGTTTGCTGCTCATTTGTGTCCAATTGGATGGGCGAAAGTGTTATGTTGCGCTTATATGGCGAGTTATGTTCATGCAGTTGATCGTAGACGATGCGATTACGATTTGTGGGATGCGAATAACTGCGTTCGTCTATGGATGAGCTAGCGCCCGAATTCGATTCGGGCAATGAGTTAGCAATTGATTCGTTGTCGCGTTCACTATTCAATGATGGAGCTTTCGAGGAAGTTTCATCGTATTCATCGGCGCCGACCAAGTGTGGAGGCGAGGGCGAGGGCATGTCATGTGGATTGTGCATGGGATTAACGTCGAAATAGTCATAATAGTAGACCTGGGAGTACAAAATATTTTACTTTACTATTTAATAATAAAAGTGAGGGACAGTTCGTAAAAAGTGCTCGTAATGTTGTGTCTTAACTCAGCTTACAACTTCATTTAGAGTATATAAGCCACAAAAATTTGTATTGAAAAGCATTTTCCTTAAATTTTTCTCACCTGCAAAATATTCACAAATACCTTCTGCGAGGTCTGATAGCCCTTGTGACCGATATGCGAGGCGATATAGTTGAGGAAGAGTTGCAAAATGATTTCCAACGTAATACTATGCTCAATGCAAAGCGCATGTATGAATACATCGCTGATAGCCTCAATCAAATCCATGTTCTCTGTGGCCAACAAAATGGTTTCAGTAAAATCCGAAAAAGAAATCACGCCGTGCGCGGTATTTGTTGGTCCGACTAGTGAGCTTGCCACAGGCGCTTGACCAAACGATGGTTTACGCTTGTGCTGACGACGCGCCGCTTGTGTTGCGGCTGCAGCTTTGTGCTGTTGTTGCGCAACGTTTGCTGTAGTAGTGGCACCATTACGATATTTAAACGAGTCATAATGCTGAGAACTGCGACGGTGGAAGAGCACTGTGCCATCGTCAAAGAGCACATTCTTGTGTTTAATCAGCGCTACGGCCAACTCACGACGACTCAAACGTGCCACTACTTCTTGTGCGAGCAGATAATTGGACATGCGACAGGCTGTCACAGCGAGCAGTAGATTCTCGTCGGGATTGCTGGAAAAAGTATATATTAAAGAAAAATAAATATTAAATTGTTGAAGACTGTTAACTTACAGCTTGTCGAGATATTTAAGGTAATTGACCAACTCTCCACTGATTGCGTCGGCCACCACTGGCGAATTCAACATGATTTGCGGTATGTCCGCGGGCGAATATTTGATAAACATATTGAGAAATTCCAAAGACAAAGGCACTTGTGGGTAGCCTTGTTCTATAACACGATTCGGGGTGAAAAATGGTTTCACCAACTGATTCAGAAAGGCGGCCAATAGACGATCAGTGCCTAAACCGAGTAGGAACATTTTCACAGTATAAATTAGACCGATCAATTTCGTCTCATCGACCACTGGTGAATTGCTGCAGTTGCCAAATGCTAGTTGTTGTTGCTCAATGTAAGCGGGTTGCACGTAGGAGTTTATATAGTTGCTGTAGATGTCGGCAAGTTGAAGATTACACATTTTGTAAAAACCAGTGGCCTGTAGGTACACCTCTTTTTTCCGTGAGCTGTGAAATCAATTATGTACAAATGGAAAATTTATAGTAATAGCACAGATTTATTACGACACTASAGAAAACGGTAAATTTGGTTACACTGAAGCTATAATACCCTCCACAGTTGATTTTTTTTTAGCATAAAAGATATAAAAAATCTTTATACGGATTTTGATCGGTTAGTTTATATGGCAGCTATATGATATAGTGGTCCGATCTGAATAATCTGTTAGAAAATGGTAGCAATGCCTTGGATAATAATCTATGCCAAATATCATGTAGATTCCTTGAAAAATAAAAAAGCTTTTCATACGAGGAACTGAGGTCGATCGGTCAGTTGTATGACAGMTATATGTTATAGTGGTCCGATATCAACAATTTTCTTGGAGATCATAGAGTTGCCTTAAATAATAATCCCTGCCTAGTATCTGGAAGATACCACGTCGGATGAAAAAGTTTTTCATACAAGCACTTTTTTCCGATTGTTCAATTTGTATGACGGTTCCGACATGTAAAGCTTTAGTGAAAAAAGGACGTGTATTTCGCATATATACAGGCTGACGAAAGGACGGACAGACGGATATGGCTAAATCAACTCGGCTTGTCGCGTTGATCATTTACATACCATATATACGTTTAGAGTCTCCGACGTTTTTTTTTTACCCTCTTTAGAATATAAAAATCATTACCGTATTGAGAAGTCTGCCAATTTGCGACAATTCTCCACAAACTTGCAGCGCAACTGTTGTTCACGCTCCTCGACCAACTGTTCGCATTGCAGCGATAGACTTAAACGCAACATAACATGCGCCTCCTCCATTAAATCGAAAAAGTTTGTGCTGCTTGCCGCACGATACGATTCTGCAATCGCCTCCAAATCCTCAATCACATGCTCCACCGGTGGCACCTCCAAATTATACAGCGTCCATTCGTTGAGCTGTGCTTGTTGTGCCGCATTGTTGCTGCTGCTGCGTAACAAATTCTTCACTTTAGCCTCGGCTAGTATGCGCGYAGCAATATTCCGTCCACCCGCATTACCGCWACCTACGCCACCACCGCTACGTCTCTTATTGGCTTCACTGTTGTTGTTGTTGGCCAGTGCACTGTTAGTAATTAGCACTAAATTGTTGCGGTTAACACAGACATATTGCACATGCATGAAGGCGCAGAGGCCAATGACGGCAATGGCCGAATTGACATCGGGGCTGGATTCCTCGGGGAAGAGACCACCCAGTGTGGGATATTCAAAGCGATTGTTGTAGAGTTTATGGCCAATGCGTGACGTGTGTGTCTCCACGGACTCYGTGGTAATTGCATAGATGACATAATCGTTGATATGTACCCGCAAAACGGGTGCGGTGAAAGAGTATGTGGCTATAGGCTTCTCGTTCTCACTATACCATTTACCTAAAAACATTATACGCGATTATTAAATTTGGTCGAAAATATTACAAATACAGCATACCTTGTGCACAAAACTGATACAGATAACCGTCGACGCTGCTTGCCACCAGCAATGCATAACCAACGCAACTCTGGTGCTTGCCGGATTTGAGCGTGCGCCGATTGGCGTGTTTAGTGGTGGTTACCGCGCCAGGCACCTGCTGATTGCCCATGTCGTATTCGGAGTCCTCTAAATCATCCTCGTGCGGATTACGTTGGTAAATCGCTCTCAAATCCATGCAACGCAAAATGTCCACAATTCGTCCATTCGGCTCCGAAGACTTCATACAGATCTGCAACAGTTTACGCACATCATATTGTACACTGGTGTCCTCGTTGTAAGCGTAGGTCATGTTACCATGGCTCGAGACGCGCTGTGAAAAAATTCACGGTTATAGTAACTATATGTGTTCGAAAACGTTTCGCCGCAGTTACCTGCACATTCATAGCTTTCGCTTCATTAACCAGCTTAATTTTAATGTCATTAGCGCGTGCTGGCATAATTATTATCTCTTGTGTATCACCGACACAACCGCCACCACTACCAATCGAGGTCGCACCCATACCACCGCCACCGCCCCCAACACTTATGGCATCGCCCAGCTCCCACTGAGATTTTAATTCCACTTCGAATTCACGTCCACAAGCCGAGTTCACTATGCGCGCCACATTGAAATCGATTGGTGTGCGTCCTGGAAAACCGGCCACACCCATCGGCCGTCCACTTGATGTCGTTTCCAACGAATCTGTTTCAAAGCTGTTGTGACTCGAGGGACCAGCGCTCGCTTTGCTCATTAGACTCGATTCCGAGCTAGAGATAGCCTCRTCGACATCCACGTCAGCCACATCCTCCAAACAGACACCACCACCGCCACCGCCGTAGTCATTATCTAATGGGCTGCAGTGTACACCACCAGTTGCGCTGCTACCCACCACATCGACCACTTTGAAAGCGACGCAGTAGCGATTATTCATCGCGGCTATGACATTCTCGGCAAGACACAAACGCAGTGGCACGAAGTTTAGATTTACAAAAAATTTGAACGGCAAAAAGTCAATGTAGGAGAACCGTGGCTGCGTGGTCTCGTGTGTGCACTGTGTATACTCGTATAGGTAGATCCGCTCCTTGCTGCTCACTATAATGTTGCCAGATGTCTGACAACACTGTATGAGGTCGGGTGGRCTACGCAGCGGTAACTCTATCACATCGATGCTSTCCACCAGCGGTGCCTTGGGTGTGGTCATAGAAGCTATGCGTATTGTAATGGGTAGGTCAATYAATTTTGCCTCGGAAAATTTCCAAAAATTGGCATAAATGCGTACAAACATTTTGGTATCATCCTCCGGACAAATAACGGTGTTATTGCTGCTGCTGGTGCAGCTAATGCCGGTGGTGCCAGTTTGTACTGGAGTACCAAGTGTTTCCTTTTCCAATGTGAGTAAATATTTGCCTACGTTAAATGGAAGGAAGGGAAAATTTTAGCGAATTTGATTTAAACTCAAAACTGTTATCGATTAATATAGTTATATCGATTTATATTTCGATATACAAATTTAATTTAAACCTAAAGCTGTTATCGATTAAAATAAATATCGATTTATATTTCGATATAAAAACGATATTTTTGTCGATTATTTAAATTAGTTAATCAGAACTTTAAAAGGAAGGAAGGGATTTTTTAAACGTATTTAATATAAACTTAAAACTGTAATCGATTAGTGCCGATAAATATCGATTTATATTCCGATATTTAAAATAATATTTTTGGCCTTTATTTTAATTCAGTGTTAGACGCATACAAGTGAGTTAGCACCTTGTTCTCTCTATGAATTCCAAAGGAAATTTCGACGATTTTACATTCACTACACTACTGAATATAGCTTAGATTAGATGTTTTCAATGTTGAATAAGCAAAATACTACTTTATTATCGATACTTTTTTTGGTAAGTTGTATAATGGATACCTATGTATGTATTATTAACTTTGCGATATTCGTAAAGCTATAATTGGGAGTTTTAAAAGTTGGACATGCAAAACATCTTCACTGTCGATATCTTTATTACCGATAATTTTTGTGTTAAATCGATTATCGATTATAAACGATAACATAACAATGTAGATCTACAATTCGGTACTCTCATTCCCGTAGCACTCAAAAATCTCACCTGCTTCGCAGTAAATCAAGTGCACCACTTCGCCCACCGTTGCCAGCGTATACTTCGTGGGCAGGCGCTCGTCCGCGGCAGCTTGGGCTGCAGCCGCCGCCGCTTCGGCCTCAGCAGCGGCATACTCACTGGCCGTGGTAATTGCATTCAAATCGATGCCATTCAATTCATTGCGGCGCTGCTTGCCACCGATATCGTAGATTTCTATAAATTGTTCGGCGCTGCTCACCGCAATGCGACTGGAATCTATCAGGGAGGCGGAAAGAATGTCGCCATTCAGAGAGTATGTGTGCTGTTTGGCAAAGTTATAGGCCTGCAGAATTTTCACCATGTTCACAGCTGGTTGACGACGTGTTTAGGAAGATTAGACTGCAACGCGCTGCAAAGATTAGAGACAGAAAATAGACAAAACGTATATGTATATATTAAAAAATAATTTAGCTGATTTGTTCCTAAAATTTTTCTAAAATCTACATTTTCGCTAATTCTAATTTCCAGCACGGTTTCGGCACGCATCCAACGCCCAACGAGTCATGAGTGACTTCATGCAACGGTGACAGCACTTAGCTACACAATGTCATAYGGGCGCGTCACAAATGCACATAAGCCGTTGTGTTCACACATGCTTAGCAATTTAACTTAATACACGGAAAGTGTAAAAAACGCCACCAACCTGCACACATTAAAATTTTTAGGACACACTTTTTGGCGTAAACCGACGTTTCACTGCACYGCACTTGCGAAAAAAAGCTTTTGTTTAATACTAACTGCCGTCGCGTGTTCATGTGCTCATAATGCGCTAGTTCGCCCCGCCTAGCCGTCGTTGCGACTGTGCGCGTCGCTGTTAAAAGCCAAAATGAAATGCTGAGCCGCTGACACTTGACGCGCTTTGCTTTGGATATTTACCTTACGACACAAGCGCTGACACCACCATCCACGAGCTGGCGCTGGTAAATAGAGCGAATGACATCAAATCAGCTGAAGTGGTCACTCAGACTCTGCATACACGTGCAAACCGACATAAGAGATCTAACTCGACTGGTCAAGTGGTCACCAACCGCCCACTCAGTCGCCCATTTAAGCATGTATGGATTAAATATGTGTGTGTGCTTGTGTATTTACATGCAAATAACACACCATCAATTTGTTTAGCTACACAACCTTATTTACGTTGGGTCTAGCATTTACTGTCGCTTTTGTCTTCCGTCTGCTAATTGTCATATGTGTTTGTTTGTAAGTGAAAAGTTATTAATTGCGTGATAAACAGGGTCGTTCTGTGAACATTTTTAAGTGAAAAAAGTCAAAAATAGTACAGAATTTATACAAATATAATTATACATTTTCTATAGCAATCATTTCTCTGATTGTTTTGCTTTTTGTTATAATAATCTGAAGAGTAGTGAGAGAGAGTGATGAAGAGCAGAGCCAAAACCTTTGAGGTAAAAATATTTTTTTTTATTCCATATGGATATTCGGTCTCTCTCTTTCTCTCTCTCTCTCTCTCTTACGAGTATAAAAGATGAACAAATACTATACAGAGATGAAGATGGAGAGGTAGTAACCATTTGCTGTTAGATTTCAACTATAAGGTGAACASTTAAAAAACCAGCTTTTGGAGCTTCGGACGGGTTACTATCGTCTATGTGGCTGCCTGGATTTGTTCTGTTGAAACACAATTCCCATCTTTTTGGCCAAAGTTGGTCACTTTCGGGCGATTGCTTCATTCAGACGGTCAAATGGTTGACAGTATTAGCCCAAATTAGGAGTTTGATCATAGGCAATACTTTCCAGACTGTCAATCCTGACTTAGATATTCCTCTCCTATTCGTAAAAGCTGGCCGCTTTTGGGTCACTGCTTCTTACATAGAGTCAAATAGTTGACAGTGTCAAGCCGAATCAGGAGTTTTACCGTAGGAGAGCAGCTCTTAGTAAATGATTCCTTCCCAATTCCGTCAAATCTGTAGTAAAACCTTCCAGACCGCCAGTCAATCCATMTTTAGCCATTCCTCTCTTCTTAGTCAAGTCTGGTCGCTTCTGCTCGATTGCTGCTTTCGGACGGTCCAGTTGTTGAGAGTAAAGGTTGGAATTAAGAGTTCGACCGTAGAAAGAAGCTCATAATAGATCCTCTGCCAATTCCATAAAATATATAGTAAAACCTTCCAGAACGTCAATTATGCTACATAGTCAAATGTCAATAATGCCAGTAAGTTGTGACCAGCTACTAGGCCAGCAACCACCGTCCTGGAGTCCTTTCGAGATCATGTGTGCAGAAAGTTTGTGTGCTTTTCTCTCGCTCCCTTGCACATCATTACGATCTCTCCCTGATCCGTCTGTCGGTCCTTTTTTGGAAATTCGTTGTGTATCGTTTTTAACGACTTCCGTACTTTTTGAACTGATTCGGTACTCAAGCGGATGGCACTTTGACAATCTCATTAGCTATTTCGTCTGCTGGAACGCTTAACATCAGACTTTCCTTACTGCTTTGCTCTACAAATTCCTTCATTTATGAACAAAATGCAGTTTTTGAACCCATTATATGTGGACTTCCCTTAAAGGCACGGTACTATTCATTTAATTAATTGGAGTAATGTTGTGCACTTTACAGCCTTTGATCTGATAAAAGTCCGTTCCGTTGTAAGACAAAATGCTTAGTATTTTTGTGCCAAGCCATTGCCACATTCAAAGAAATTTAAAATTACTAATACCCTTCCATTATGTATGTTCCTACGACTGTCTGCTAATATTTGCAAGCCCTTAGTTGGAAGAAACTYAATGCTCAAAGCAAATTAAAAGAAATATATTATTAGCTCTAATTTAGCCAATAGCATACTTGAATTCTAAGTCAAAGACAACTTAAATTTCAACACRGCAAACATATAATGTCATGCAAAACATTAAATTAATTAAAAAACAAAGGCGCGCAGTGAAAGAGGCACATAATGCATGCCATAAAAAAGTCATGGAGTATATGTTATATGCATTAGTATGTATACCCTTAGGGTGGTCGGTCCGACTGTTTTTGCGACATCGAACTGAAATTTTGTACACGTTCTTTACTCCACAAGAAACTGCTTATTTGTCGGAAACGCCGATATCGGATCACTATGRCATATAGTTGCCATGTCAAACTGGCCAGTCAAAATAAAGTGCTAGTATGGAAAACTTTTATTATCTTCACGAAATTAAACATGCATTATTACACAAGGTAATAATGCAATCTCCGAAGAATTTGTTGAGATCGGATAACGATAGCATATTGAACCCATACAAACTGATCGATCGGATAAATTCAAGTGCTTGCGTGGAAAACTATTTCATTTGACGAGATATCTTCTTTGCCACGGATTATTGCCCAAAACCTGGCTACAATATACGGACATATTGTTCGAATCGGAATACTATAGCTTATAGCTGTCGTACAAACCGACCGGTCAAAATCAAGTATGGAAAATTTTCTTTTCGAAAATATAACTACACGAAATTTGGCAGTGATTATTATCCAAGGCACAGTCTCTGAATATGATTTTCAGATCAGATCACTATAGCTTACAGTCTCCATACAAACCGACAAAAATCCGCGTTCCCACGACAGTCTAGTCTACTTAACCGGAATGAATCCGGATTTTTTTTAATCCTGTCAAGGACTATCAACTCGGCAGAACTCTGCCTCTACAACAACAACCGATCATAAAGAAAGGCATAAAGAAATATAAAAATTAAAAATTATCATATTTATCAATCTCCCTTATATAGCATGTTTACTTACATATATTCTAAAGAGTAACTTATGGTATCCAGTAAAGCSAGGAAGACACAAACTTTAGGCAAAAAAAAATAATAATAATAAAATAAGAAACTTAAATGTGAGTAACATACGAAATGAGTGATGACGATTTCTATGAATAATTGCAGGTAGACACGCATTCTTACTTAACGGTTATAATAAGACTCGGATATCGACCATAAAATGGTTAAAGTCACGCCTGGATTTGATTTGCTGGCAAAAGAAAATATAAATATATGCATACATACATACATATGTCTTTACGATTGACTACATGTTAAGGTAGGCGCGATGCTGAATTGCTTGTACGAGTATATTTATTTCCTGTTGTAGGTGTGCCCAGTCAATGAAAATATATATATAAATATAAACACAAACCGACGAACATCAGTTAGGTAACTAAGATGTTGCACAAAGTTGTGGTAAAGCAATATTTAGATTTGCACCCATTATAGCCTATCACAATCAATCTTCATAGAAATATTAGGAATATTTTGTTTTTGCATGAACGTTAATCACCTATGTACATTACTAAATCCGCATAAAAAAGTGTATTAAAAATTATTTTARCCCAAAAAGCTTGACCTCATTTCGCAGCTACGTCGCAATAATGTGAGCGTCAAATTTCGCTTGTGTATGTGCATAGGTGTGCGTGTGTATACAAATTCGATATGGCGGTTAATGACACCCAACGGAAACGGAAAAGGCATTGCTTCAGTCAGCGAACGCACAAGTTCACGGCTTGCACACCTACACACACACACATACACTTATGAACGCCATACCTACAATTTCGTGTGCTGAAAACGATGGCTGGTGAAAACGGGAAAGCGCGTTCGAGTGTTCRTCGTGTGTGTTCGCTAAATCACATTTGTGTTTGTTTAACTCAGTGCTTCATATGTGTGCAACAGCACATATTTTTACTGTTTTTGCTTGAGTCCTTTTGCTATTTTTAATGCCAACACCAATTGACTTTGCTATTTGTTTAACATTGTTTTTTTTGCGCAACAACAACAACTTGCAATTGCAGCTAAAAATAARTTGTGCAATCAAGCGGTATTTGTTGTTGTTGCTGTTGGTATTCGGTTATAGCCGCGCTGTTGGTATGGCGTTCATGGTGTACTGAGATTTTACTTCCTAATTTGTTGGCATTAATTTTTGCAAACGAAAAATCAATAAGCATGTTCGAGTGCACCGAAATCGCGTACAAATTTTATATAACCAAAAGTGCTTTTTAGCATAAAATCTTTAATAACATTTACTCATGGTTTACAAATTAATTTTTGTGCTTAAATACAAATAACACTTACTTTTACTGACATCTAAACTAATTAAATTTTGTTACTCCTCCTTTATCACTTAATTCACTCATACACAAATTTAACGTTTTCAATACTATCTTAACGCACACACGCACACACGCACACTTAACTCATATCTCGAACAATTAAAATTAATTAATATTTAATGGAAACCAATCGTGTTTAAACTTTTCTGCGCTCACACTCTATCAGAATTATATGTTTTTTGTTTTCTGTTTTGCATTGCATTCGGTTTGTAGTGTCAAAAATTGACAACAATTGCTGACAGCGCAGAGAACGTTTGATTTTATACATTCTCTGCTGACAGCGCCCTTTCATTTCTGCTTTGTGTCTTCTTCGTAAYATGCAGAGTTGTATTTTAGAGTAAGTGTCAAAAATTTGTTCTAGAAATATTGCATTATTTTTAAACTATATATGTATCAATACATGTACAATACAGCTGCATTACGCGACATTAGATACCACGACAGTCGGGTCTACGTAACCGGAACGGACCCGGATTTTTTATCCGGTCAAATACTGTCAACTCGGCAGAATTCGCGCTACAACAACAACCACAACTGACCTCTATTTCAACGTATGCCTAGGTTCTAGCCTGAGGACTCAAAGAGAAACTCAAACGAGCGAAATCGCATAACAGTCCAGAAGGGTGTAGTACAACATAGCAATATTACCGATAAATTTTTCAAATACCGTTTTCGGAAGAAAATTAGTCATAGAGTTAACTAATGCTCTATCAATTTAAAGCACTCAGCTTCARTAGCTCCTAGAATTAAGTGAAACCCAAAATAAAAAAAAAAACTCGAAAAAGGCCCTATGGCTGCAGAGGAAGTCCAAACTTCAGAAATTTAATTTAACGAAAATTTAAAAACTCTACAGCGGCAGCTTGAATATAGGAATAGGAAGAAACTACTTCCAAAAATCCAGTACATGGAAATTTCAAAGATTTCATAGCGGCAGCTTAAATAAAATAACCTAGAATTCAAGACTTCTGATGCTTCAATATATTAAAATAATATATATACTATACTAATATACCTGGTTGGTACACATTAGGCCTGTAATATGTAAATAGGCTGATTATTCTTGAGCCCACGGATAGTCCCACTTGGACTGTTATAGGCGCTTGTCCGCCTAGAACTCCGGGGTATGGATCAAAAAGATGCTCAGATATCGAGAAAACGCCTAGAGGCGTTTGCTGATACACCTAATATCTATTCCATTAAAAAATTCATTAAAAGTATGACAACCGAGGCCGAGGACAATCATTAACAACAAATTTCATAACTATAACCAGTCAAGTAAAAAAGTTTTCCATAAAAATACTCGAGAAAAACGCATTTGCAAAGTTTCAGAACTAGGGGACTGTACGGAGAAGTATGTATATAGAACATGTATGAATAATCTTACAGCACTTTAGCAGTTCACTTGATTTCTGCGTTGTCAACGCAGTAGCTTAGCGTTCGCGACAACTTTCTACGTTCCTCACAGTGTCACGAACTACGTCATCATTTTCATCTGACATCAGCACATCCGTTTGAAAAGTAGGTTTTTATTTAATGTTCAATGGTAATTGCTTGCATGATCAGTCGCGGCGTCAGCAATGTTTCGAATGAGATTAGAAAAACGTTTAGATAATGGTTGATTCTCCGCTCGATATTTACACAAATTGTAGAATTTCCGAAACCACATGCTCAGTAATATACGTGCGTACATGTGCTGAGATGAACATGCGCGTATTTTTATCAGTTGATGTTGTCGAAATTGGTTTTTAACCGCATTTAATGCACTTTCCAACGCTAGACGACAACCTATGGCATGCAGAGATGTAGGTATGCGCGTGAGTAATAGTCTTGCAAAGCAACAAGGAGCGGACAGAGCGTGACTGAGTGACTCTACCTGCACAGTTTTTRTTGTATTTATAGGTAGTAATTGTACTTATCTAGTTGATAGGGTGAGTTTCGGTCATGATTTGCTTCAATGGCTGATATATTCCGCTCTTCGACTTCTGCATTGTTGCATTCACTTAATTTTTCTTTTACTCGTAGCATACTTCGAGGGAGATGTATGAATGCAGAGCGTATTATACATATGCTTACACATGCACGACCTCACTGTATACATAAGTATGCCATTTTCAAAGTTATTGGGTATGTTTCTTGCAGAGTTTCAGCAGAAAATCTCGTGACCATTCTCTTCATATATAGTATGTTTGTTTTTAGTATTTTGTTGTTGCTTTTGTATACCTCTGTATTTATTATCTCTGGCTAGARCACAAAGAGTATGACGGAGCCATAAATAGGTCTGTGCTATCTGCTATGTACGTAGGCGGGTGCTAAAATACTTTGATACTCAGTAATGAGATTTGTTGTGGAAGTGAAAAATCTGCGAAMCATTCGCTAGGCTGTGAATAGCTTGACGTACAGTGGTTCGAATGGAAATTTTATGCTAAAATTCAAAAATTCTGGTAAAAAAACTAATATAAGAAGAATTCTATGCCTTTTAAATAAAAACTAATTCAAAATACCATTTTTCGAATGCGCACTAGTCCATTTGAAATTTATATTTTCAACTAAAAAAGTACCGCTATTAATTTGTAATAAATATGTGTTTATGCCTTTTCATTGAAGGAATTWGTTCATGCTACAAATTTCCGAAAAATAGTTTCAACTCCTTTACACATCTTTTCTTGATTGGACCTTGGAGTCGAATGGAATTTAACTTAAAATCTCAAATATTTGTTAAAACAGTTAGATTTGTTATGTTAGTTATGGATTATTCCAGACAATATTTTTTTTTTTTATTATTTTTAATAAATTATTTACTGTAGCAACCGTAGGTGTCGATTTTGAGTTGTATTTGATTCGAGAAATATGATGTACATATACATATGTATGTAAATGGATATATGTAAATACTATTATTTATTTTCTTATTTATATGTTTGCTTAAATACGTACACTCGTGTGTAACTGATTCATGGCGCTTACACTCTTGTACATAATTGCACTCATAAGCATATTTGARATTTTTCTCTGTTTTGATTTTAACTGTAAAAGTAATAACAACAACAAAAATCGCTTGCACCTCTGCTCACCACTTTATTTTATCTAAATAAAAACAGTTGTTTTTTTTCGGTGAGTACTTTCTTGATTGAGATGTCAAGAGGCCGCAGGAGAATCATACATTCGTTCAGCCTGCTCTGGCTGGAGCACTCTAGAGATGAGTTTGAGAACGCGCCATTGTCAATAGGACTTTTGTATTTTCAGTCTTATGGATTGACTTAAATTGACGCGCACGCAGGCAGCCGGCAGCCAGCAGTYGGGCAGACAGACAACGAAATCGGAGATGGCCTGTCTCTATTATTGTGCATTTGGTGTAGTATTTATTCCCGCCACTCTCTGTCACTTAGTTGGCCGCTCCGCAGAAATATTGCTCCCATAACAACAAGTGCGAGTTCGGCATTGTCGCTGTCGTCCATAAACATAAAAACACTTTCGGTTGAGGACCGTGAAATTTTCTGGCTTCTGAGTGCCAAAGTAGTAGTGGTTCAAAGCGCACGACGCCACGGCTAATATAAATCTTAAATGTACGCAACGCAACGCGTACGCCTTAAGCTGGTCGATTAAGGCGGGAAACAGGTGTTTGTTGCATGACTGTGCGAAAAAAAGACGCAACGATTAGCTTGTAAGCGAAAATTGTGAAATTCCTTACGAAAATTTAATTGCAAATGGAAAACCGAAATTGGTTTTATAATTTATTTTKCCATACAGCCACAATCGCGACACCCACGCAAAAGCGCAATAGACCGTCTCCAGTGAAGTGGATTGTTAATATGTACATAAGTCTGCTTACGTCAATGCCTTGAAAGTCTTAAAGCGATTTTATTTTAGAAAAATTTAAGTGCATACTACTCGTTGCATTTGCGTTGTGATTATACACCTATTTACTATAAACACATATGTACGTATATACATATATATAYATACAGATCTATCAATAGCGCCATTTGCGTTTACTTATAATAATGCATAATGGGGAAAAAACAAGTACTTTAATTATTCATGAYTATATTTTACTTTGAATAACTTTTATTTTGCATTAGGCAGCTTTTTCGCTTTTCGAGTGGCGAGTGTGTGTCCGTTGAGTCCGCATTGTTGGTAATTTATGCGTTTAAAGTTTATACTTGAAGCATTTAGTACACATTATTTTAATATGTTCATTTCTTATCTACAGGCATTTGTAAAAATATACAAACACACAAACATATGTAAATACAYATTTCTCGTTCATATTCATTAAGCCCACCGAATGGATACTCGTTCGTCCACTCTCGTATTAGCTTTTCGCATGTTCAAAAGCAACTTGTATAAATAAACTTCGTCTCCAACGGCGGTACATTCACTCAGCCATTTATAAATGCACATATACACATACATACTATATATACATGCATTGTAAGTGTGTATGTTTTATAAGCGCTCGAGGCCACATTTCAACTGAACTCGCCACTCGCAATTACCGCTTTGTATAATGAATTCGATCCATGCCAGAATATGTATGCCTGTATGTTTTGCCTGCCCCCATAACCCCACCACACTGCCCACCAATATGAGGCACACGAGCGCACATGAGAATGAGRCAGAACATTCGTTTTTGGCGTACGTGTTTAGCTGATTGTGAAAAGAAATCGGTGAGCTTGTTGGAGCAGACCCCAACTTGTTATGGTTGATATTTGTTACCCTCTTCACGTTGTTGCTGTCGGGATTAGCTATGTACATAGCTTTAGCAGTGTTGGCATTTAGTAGCGGCAAACGACAATCACCGGGTTTTACATACAAATCTAAACACAAGTGTATGAATGTGCATACATAATCACAAGAATGTACATATGTATGTATATTTTTGGGCATACCCGCTTGTTCGAATATGCTTTCGCTGTTGTTTGTACGACTGGCGGAAGTTGGCGACTAGCAGTGGGGTCTTGGTGCTGCCATCCATTTAATAGCAATATATTTTCAATGGATACTTATTATAATGTATAAAATGTTATACTTAGTACAGTTACCGTTATACCGTTATATCGATAGTATAGTATTTTTCCAAAACCGTTCTCGCAATCTTAACAGAACAACCCATTAGACTTAATTGATTGATAAATCAGGAATGCACCGCGACCTTCGGTCTATTGTGCCCTCTCCTAAATCACAAAGACTCACCTAGGCCCACCATATTGATAAAGTCCAAATACTGCTGAGTGATAGTGCAGTGATATGATTTGGAAACATGGATCCAAGGACTTTAAATCTGCGTCTGCAGACTGTTGTGCAGTCAATTAGCAAGGGTTCCGGTGCTTCAGGCTTCCGCTCGCAGATCCGGAAATTTTTGCAAGAAGCTAGGCCCATATTTGTAAATGGTTCTTTAGCTTGCAGTGGCCAGTGCAAAATGTGACTAGTAGTCTGAGTTTATTCCTAGGGAGGTCGATTACATACCCATTCGRCTTACATACATCGAGGCTAAGTTGCTATAATATGAGAGGAAAATGCAAGGCTTCTGCGTGAGCGCTCTTGGATAAGATACACAGCTGAAATATATGCCCAGCTGCTCTTGAGAGAAGCAGACCTTTCGCTTGGCTTCGAATAATAATATTCAGTGCTGACTTTTAGCCTGCTGCTGTGGAAGATATGGTGCTCCCGGTGGCTTGGCACTTCAGTTATCAAAAGTTTATTAAAAACAACTTCCCGTGCACTGATATTATATAATGTGCTCGAACCTCAATGGAAGTTATACTTACACACACATACATATGTATGTATATAAGCGKAGTAAGAAGGAAAATCCTACTTAATAAGGTTCAAGTTCAAATCGATTACGAACTTTCGCAGAACCTGCTCTTCAGTATAAGAATACCTTTCTATATTCATAAGCACATACACATGTATATAAATACAAGTGCCTGCGACCGGAGTGATCTCTATTTGAAGATTGATTTTTTCATACAGCACCTTTCTATTCATTCATTGAAAATTTCGTTTAACTATTAAATTCTAATTGGATTTTTTTTTCTCCTCTCTAAAGTATCTAACTATCTATCTGGTAACGCTCTCACTGTATGTGGTAGAAAACTGTACTTTGAGAAGAGCGGCCATCTTGCTCTATTTACAAAACGCATACTCACAATTAATGCAAAAACAACAAGCTGCGCTGGCACAGCAAAGTACGAGTAATTTTTCCCGTATAGAGACAAAAACTTGTATTGTTGAACTGGCCAAGATAGCGATTTGCCTTTAGGGTTGTCATGTTACAAAAACACAAATAAACAACTAATCATTTTAAAATGTATTCCTATATAAGTATGTATTAAATATCTTTAAAATCATAAACTCATAACTGTTGTTTCTTTATAACACAGAAAACAAATTAATTTTGTTTTTAAATTAATATTTTTTAATAACATATTATTAATAGTTTTTTATATGCTGAACAAAAATTTAAGTTTAAAAATCTTAACATTTCTCGCGCATGAAATACTCTAATTTATTATAGCGGCATGTTGGTAATCCTACCCGTTGCTGTCAACGTCAACAGCCGAAAGACAGCGACGGCGCAACGACAGCGGCGGGGAAGTTCGTCGTYTTCGTTGCGGCTTTGTCATGAACGCCGAGCGACATGAAGCGAGCGCCGAGCATCGTGGAGCGTGCGAGTGTGGCCAACAAARTATCGAACTCAAATTTTTAGTTAGAAATTTTCTACGTTGGCGAGAAGTCGTGAGTAACAAAATTATTGAAAGCAGTAGCAGAAGCAGCAAAAGCAGAGTTTTTTGACTGGCTGACTGCTCTGTGAGATTTTTCATCCATTTTAGTGCCCACTCTGAGAACAAAAATAAATTCAGAAGATTCTTTCATAGATTTTGTAAAGCGGGAAACTTTAAAAACAGAGATATAATCCGCAAGTGTTTTCCTCTTTTTTTTTTTGTTTGGTGCTATTATTTACCAAGTGAGTGTATTAAAATGTGATGAAAAATTGGGGATAAATGGAATGTGAGCTTGTAAAATATAGTAAAAATGCTTTATAGCCTTTTCATAGAATTTAAAAACGCTAGCTAAAAGAAAGTATTCCCACTTAAGATAAGTTTTTGAAATGTTAAGAAGGGGGGAACAAAGTGGTGGTTTATTAATAATTAAACAAAAATTTCGCATTATTAGAGAAAAGTTGGAATTTCGTGTCGTGGCGGTAGTGCAAACTGTACAGCTTGCGGCTATGACCGTATGAGTATTCAGAAAAGTGATACAGAGAAAAATATTTGTTAACCGATGGCTTGTGCAGTGTTGTTCATGTGGTTACTGTGGCTGCCAAGTGTGAGTGCTTTTGGCTCCAAACCTCCCAAAGCTTTGCGTCAATAGCAAATGAAAGGATATACAGACGTACGAACTCACGTACATACTATCTTCAGCAGAGGCGAAGCCTTGCCTCGAAGTTAGAAATTGATATTAAGATTGTTTTTTATTAATATATCTTTAAGAATGATATTAATATTGATGAATTTGTAGATTTACAAAAAATTGATTTTCGCACAAAATATCACTATCAGACCTYMTCATTGGGAGYACACACATACATACACACTTACGCATTCACATAACAAGCTGAATCAACAATTTAGATGAGGGGAGCACAAGTTTAACATTTCGACTCTTGATTACGTTGGCAAACGTCGTATGTGAGTGTGTGTGTGTCGTAYAGCTCAGCGCGAATGTTGTCTTTTTACGAGTCGGAGCGAATGAATTTTAACCACACACGTTTGAAACGTTTGGTACGGTGATGCTTCGCGTTGATGTGAGCATTGCGCAGTTGCAAAACATTTAGGGCAGCGACGACAGAGGGGAAGTCTTTCGGTAGATCGTTCGTCGTCTCATAGTCACTGCTTAAACAAGTCTGTTTTTAAATAAGAGCGACAGGGAGGGTGTGAGAGAGTCGTTGGCAACGATTTCGCCGTCTACGTGTGTAATTCAAGTCCAAATTTCCCCTACCAACATGACAATAGCGAGCGTGGCAGAGCGCATGAGAGCGAGTGAGACATATGGATGTACAGCGCATTGCCCACGTTATTYGTATAAGGAGAAGCAAGTGAGGACGGCGGAKGTAAAATTAAGGCTTTTTGAAATTTCACTTGGTGCTTTCAGGTTTACGCCACACATACAACAACAACGTAATGAGAAAAAATTGAAATAAATACATAACATAAGCTTAGCGGCAATGGAGAAAAATGTTGGAAAATTTTATGCGGGTTAGTCAAATATTAGGCGCAACCGTGGGGTTTCGGCCTATCGTTAATGGGGTATTGTTAGGTTTACTACTTATATGTGGATAATTAGGTAGCATTATATATTCGATTGCATATTTTTCTTTAAAACATTTTTAAGTATTTATAAACGTTTAATTCTCTAATTACAGTTTTTGATTCATAACTAATTGGATTGCTGAAATTGTTGAGGATTAGAGTGCTACCAGTGGAGGTAGACTACGGAATAACCTAATTTTTCTTACGTTTTATTATTTTTATTGACAAAGTGCCCGGCGACAACGACGTTTAACGCCGTTGTAACGTTGGCTCGATGATGGCATTGCCAATGAACTCACTTTACTCCCTTACGTGGGGCGACTATGGCTCGTCACTGGTGACGGCCATTCAACTTTTACGTTGTCACAACGACTTGGTGGACTGCACTTTAGCTGCTGGCGGGCGCAGTTTTCCAGCGCATAAAATCGTATTGTGTGCAGCGTCACCGTTTTTGTTGGAGCTGTTAAAAGTAAGTTCTTTGTAAAAATATAACTTGATTTATCATACATTACGCAAAAGTGTTTTACACATATATAAATTGTATGACAGTCCAGTAAAGTAACAATGAATAACTGAGCTTTTTATTATCACAAGTTAAAACTATCTTTACTTTCCAAATTAAATATTATATAATAATAGAAATTAATATTTATTATTTAAAAAACAAAAAAGTTTACACCTGTCGATCTATGTGGCCACACGCGCAAGAACCCACRAACCAAATGAAAATGTAAACAGAAAGTGCAATGAATTGGCATCAGTTTGTTTGTAAACAGAGATAATTTTACAAATGGGTTAATTCTAGGTGGATGTCTTTTAAATCTGACGATTGGCATATATTTTAGGCCTCAGTCTCAATATGATGCGTTCAAAGAATCTCTCTGTATGCTCAACTAAACTCACAAACTAAACTCATATGTACATAAATAGTTGTGGTGCAGCACACTCACCAGCACACATCACTTTCAATTTGCGCTCCGCTCTTCTACATGCTGCTAGATTTTTTACCGCTCCRGAGACTTGCTATCCATCAGGACCGGTGGCATGGCCTCTGCCCTTGCTTATGCTAAGCCGGCACCATGACTGCGCTTGTATGGCAATGTTACTGTTTTGTATGAGTTTCAAAATCTATGCATTGAGATGCATGCTTTGAACATAGAGCAAAGTGAGGAGTGTATTTTACTTTTTTTGTTCTGCAGAGGAGTTTGTCAGTCAATGCCTTGCTTAAATTGGTTAATGTAACCGACATGGTGCATATCTCTATAGCTACAAAAAGTAAGCAGGCAACATTTATAATAGTATGTTATAGCTTTGAAGAGTGAGCGTGAGTTGTGTGCAGGCGGAAGAGGCAGGCAGCGTAGAGTATCAAACAGCGTCTACGGTGTTGGAAATGATGAGTGCGGAGCACCACTTTAATTTTCTACCACGCAGATTTTTAGAGATTTCCTTTAAAGATTTCTATTAGTAATTGAGGCAAGTGAGGAAATATCTCCCTCTGAAAGTGTCGTATGCATTGTGTGTGACATGAATATTACACCATCATCGCTGCCTCTTGAACAAGTTGAACGAGATTCACATTTTATATTCTCGSTAGCAATTAATTTGATTGTCTCGAATTTCGGTTGGCAACGAACTCGGTTCAGAGCGGCACATGAACAAGCTATGCCGGCAACTAACTATGAGACAAAATAAAATTAGCGGACACAAACCGCCTACACAGAACATAATCAGAATGAACAATACAAATTTAATTATAAATTAGTAATAAATTTCACCAAAATAATTATGTATTATATACCCTGTCTGCTTATACATATATTTTCAATTTCTAAATTTAAAAACGTATCTGTGAACGATATAAAATATAAGTATATAAAAGTATCTCAACATTGTTCCATTTTGTAGTACGTTGCGGCCAAAGTCGTAAAAGTCAGGCAATCAAAATGTTCACACACTGCTCATTCGCTACCTGTGTGTATATATAAGAATATCGAGTAGTTTTGCGAGTGAGTGAGAGCGGTGAGCGACCGCAATTTGCTAGCACTGAAATCTAAGCGTCAGAGTGAGAGCACAAAAGAGTGCATCACAAAACCTTCACATAAGTAGCTCTTGTATTTAATAACTCTAGTGGAAGAGCGGAGTGCCGTAAGGGGCATGCTCCTCCACTGCGCATGTTTCGTTTATTGTTCAGGTAATGTTTGCTTCGGCTTTGTGTGCTGCGCCGCGTCATGTCATTGTGCTTCGTTGCGCTCGGGTAACTCGTTAAATTTCCATTGCAAAAACATTTAGGTATATTGGGTATTGCATGGTCCAAATGCTTATATTTGTGTTGATTTCCCCTTCCAATGTATCTCCTCATGTTTACTTACGGCAAGACGCATAAGCAGATATTTAGATACATATATATACGCAACTCTTTGTATTAATTTTTAGGAATATCTTTTTAATCAGCGGAATTCCCACTTCAAAATCATTTTACAATATTTTTTCTTTTTTTCTCTTTTTGTTAATCCACATGTAGTCTAGCCATATTGTTCTACTTTTTGTAGCTAGAAATGGCCAAAAGTCAATAATATAGTGCATTACTCACAAAATATCGATAATCTGTTTTTTAATTTTTCAAAGTTCTTGTTTAAAAAAGCTTCACAAGGATGAAAAGTGTTGGATCGGATTTTTAAACTAAGTTTGTTTTGTTTCTCTTATTTTTTTTTGTGAATTATTTGTGTTTTTCTGATTTTTTGACGACTCTCTTCATTACAACCAACGGTGCATTATTATAAAGTATGATACTCAAAGGATCCGTTCCCACGATAGCCAGGTCTATGTAACCGGAAAGGACCCGGATTTTTTATTCGACCAAGGACAAGATAACTGCCCTTGGTTGAATAAAAAATCCGTGTCCTTTCTGCCGCTACAACAACAACAACGTACTCAAAAAATATTATGTACATCATTTACGAAACAATAGTAAAAAATACGGCAATGGCAGCAGCTATTCGAATTTGTCACGGAAAAAAGTGTGATATCGCTAGTCAATAGTTTTTCCTAGGTAACACCTATAGAGCTTTTCGAAATTTCAATTAAGTATTTTTTTCAACACTTTGAAAAAGCGATTTTTTGCGAAAAAATTGGCTAATTTATTAAATATAATTATTAACATGCTTGAAAACAACTTTCCAGCGTTGAATGTTCGGTGCATCACTTCGAAGTTTTGATAAGCTTTGAAAAATCGAAAAGAATTTAAATCATCCCGCCTTAGTGGCAAGCCCCTAGTCATAAGTAAATATTAAAATTCAATCAGCTGTTTTTGTTTTAAAAACACGAGCAAACACTTTAACAGTTTTGAAGAATATGCAACCATTTCCAACTCTCACTTAGATTTATTCTCCCTTATAGCCACTTGGCTGTAGAGCATAAAAAATCAAAACAGTTCTGGGTTATAAGATATAGAGACCGGCAATGACTATCACTTGTCGAAACAAAACGTGCAATAAGAATTCACTGTGTTATCGGATAAAACAAGTGATTTCCGGMGTGCAGACACTTCGTAGCGCTCTGCCACTTTAGTTAATTTGTACTCACCGTATTGCGCTGAGTATTAAAATATGCTCCAATTGACAATAAAGGTGTTGTAGGGTGAGCGTTCAGCATCAAAACATATTATATATGTGCGTATCTCCACATACTACGAGTACCACCTCTGTATGAGGCTTACAACCCTCAACACAAAAGTCCTCCCATTCTAAATGCGCTCTGAGAATAAACAGAAAAGAAATGTTGTTAGTAGTGATATGAGCAGGGCTAACAATGCGCTCTACTTTCTCCACGCGTTGCATGCTTATATTTATTATCGGGTCAGGTCGATATACTGATAAAATATTGACCAAACAACTCAAACTATATTCGTATTTGAATTGTGAGTTTTAAAACAGAGCGCGCTCATATGCTCAGCGATTGGCGGCAGAGCTGAAGATTCTGTATTTGGTTAAATAGCTAAATATCATTATTTTAGTAACCGAAAATTGCTGGCATAAACAGCGTCAAGCTGAGAGAAATTTGGCAATTCCATACATACGTATTTAGTGGGGACAAAGTGTGTTGAAAGAAAGGTGTGCAAATGTAAACAAACTGTTGGTTGGACTGATCGATTTAGCTAGGTGCCATCTACGTGTTGTTTTAAAAGTCTTCAAACCTGTGCTGTGCTAGAATTTGTATGCTTATTTTACGCTGCGTAGTTGATAAAAGTCAGATTTACTATAACTGCGTGGAGCAATAATCGTTTAATATCTTCAATTTACTCAAAAAAGTCTTACTATTTTTTACCCGCAATATAAAACCAGCTTCTGATTAATTTAGATCTTTTTGTATTTGCTTATTATACTCCAATTTTCCATAAAAAAAATGTCTAAACACTCTGCAGCTTTAAGAAACTTTCCAAGCAAACAATTTCAATAGACGCTTTTTGTCCGGCAAATGAGAAACTAGCCAAGGCATGGCGTACAAATTTACAATAAAAGGCGACTAACAATTTGCCGAGCAAACTCGTTGATTTCACCGGATTTTCAAACATTGYACTGAGCAACGCGTTCGCTAATTCGATGAATTTCTCCCTAAAATGACTTTACGCTCTGCGTTCCATTGAAGAAATWTTAACGTTTTTGTTGAGTAATTCATGATGACCGTTACTGTCGCCGCACTTTGAGTGTGCCCGAGTAGAGCAGGAGYTGCGACATAGCAGCAGGCAAGCGTTCTTTGAAGCGCTGGTGAGAAGGCATAATGCTGGCATCTAAAAAGATACTTTTGAGTAAATAAAGATTAAATGGGAAAGTCTTTGACGACCGCCAGCAGGCCCGTAAACGAGTTTTGTGTGGTGTACATATGTGTGCGCATTTGTTAGCGCGTGAAAGAGCATAAAGAGCGTGAGTAAAATGAGGGAGTGCGGGCGGTGTGTGGATATGAGACATTGCAGCACGGTGAGCTAAAATAGACAATCCACAGATGAGACGCAGTGCCGGTCATTTAGCCAACTTGCCAGGCAATTTCTCTGTTTACGTTTTTATGTAAATCAACTCAGCTGTGCCGCCAACAAACACACACACCTTCATAACCTCTTTTTATCAACACTTTGAAATGCTATTTTATTTTTCTTCATTCTTTTTTTGTTTTAGAATACGCCATGCAAGCATCCGGTGGTGATGTTGGCCGGCGTCAATGCCAACGACCTGGAAGCGTTGTTGGAGTTTGTTTATCGCGGCGAAGTAAGTGTCGATCACGCGCAATTGCCGTCGCTACTGCAGGCCGCACAATGTCTGAATATACAGGGCTTGGCACCGCAAACCGTTACGAAAGATGACTACACCACGCATTCAATACAACTACAACATATGATACCACAACAACACCATGTAAGTGGTTGATGCTTTTRTGGCAGCCTTCTGTATTAATAATGRATGTGTCTTGATGTCTTTATTTTGTTTTTTTTAGGACCAAGACCCACTGATTGCCACCATTGCTACCGCACCACAACAAACCGTACATGCACATGTCGTTGATGATATACACCAAGCTGGCCAAATCTTGCAAACGACTACACACACTAAYGCCGCCGGACAACAACAGACCATTGTGACCGCTGAATCGCCCAAGGATGTCATACAACAATTCTTGCCCGCACGCAAGCGCAAGCCACGTGTTAAGAAGATGTCACGTAAGTCACTTTTTTTCTTACTCTACATAGTACATATCATATTTGRTTAGGTTATGTTAACCTGATAGGCTCATGCGTCACGCTTAGAGCAGTTTTGGTCCTTAGCGTTACTTTACATATTGAAAATGTAAAGAATTGGTTTCACCTTATGCTTTATTGCCAAAATTTCTTTGCATTTCTACAGCGTCCGCTCCAAAAGTTGCTAAAGTTGAGGGTATGGAAACGATCATTACTGCACCGACCACTACTACTGTCGTACATCAAGCTACACAACAGCAACAACAACAGCAGCAGCAGCAACAACAGCAACAAATACAGGTACAACAACAAAGCATTGAAAATGGCAACGAGACACAGATAATAACCTCGACACCGCACATCAAGAGTGAAGTAGGCAAGGTAGAGACAATTGTGACCATGGACCCGAATGTAACGCCGATATCAACCGTTAATACTAGCGATGTTAGCACCGGCGGCACAACCCCAGCAAGCAGCACGAAAACAGTTAAACGCACCAAGAGTGGTGAGTAAATGCAATTTCACCATGAATAAACAATGGTGTTGTCTGAACATCTTTTGAGTCTGAACAGGGTATATTAAGTTTGCAACGACGTCTCTAGCACCCAGAAGGATATGTTGGGAATCGATTTAGCTATTATTTGTTTGTCTGTAAATAAATGAACTATACCTTCAGTTATTGAGATCTTGACGTTCGCACACGTTCTTTTCTCTCCAAAACCCAACTTATTCGTCAATACCGTTGATATCCGACCGCTATAGCTTATATCTGTCATACAAATTGACCAATCAAAATATACTTCTTGTAGGAAAACTTTTTTATTTGACAAGATATCTTTATCTTTCTTTAAATTGGCATGAGTTATTATCTAAGAAAATAGCGTAATCTCCGAATAAATTGTAATAGGATAGCTTCGCCAAATTTGACATAATTTTTTTTTCCAGAGCAAGGCTACAATCTGCGGACGTATTGTTCGATTCGTAGTACTATAGCATACAGCTACCATACATAAATAAAGTATGTTTTTTTATTCCGAAGGGCTATTATAGCTTCGGCACAACRAAATTAACGCTTTTCTTTGATTTTTAATTACCGTTATTTTTACTTTTAAACTCATATATATATATATTGTTATTATTAATTGGTAACGGTATGCTAATTTTTTTCTTTGCAGAATCCCGTTCACGCTCACAATCAGAACAACCGGCTACTTGTCCCATATGTTATGCAGTTATCCGACAGTCACGTAACTTGCGTCGCCATTTGGAATTACGGCATTTCGCCAAACCCGGAGTAAAGAAGGAAAAGAAAAGTAAGTCTGGTGGTAATGATACGGAATTAAACACGACAGCAGAGACAGACAGCGTTATAGCGTCAAATGTGAGTGAGATAACAGCGACGGCGGGCGATAGTTATCAAACCGTTGCTGGCAATGTCACCACAGTTGCTGCAACATCCTCGAATGCACCTATAATTGTAACGCATGGCAATAGTGCGGGCGGTGCGACCGTTACGCACATGACTACGCTAAAGCAGGAACAACCGAACGCCGCTACGAGCAGCAGTGGCACGTCCTTACAAAATGTCATACATTTTGTCAGCGAAGAGGTGTTCGGTTCGTAAAAGAAAAAAAAAAAATTGATAACTGATAAATATTTAGCAGTAAATAGGCATTAAGCTGTTTAAATTGTATTTGAAAATAGTTAGGTCGTTTCGCGTACATAAGTAAGATTTGTAAAGAAAAAATTAATAATAGTGTTGGTTTAATTATGCATTCCCCACGCTTCTCAAGGCTTTCTCAACAAGTTAACAAAATGACATTGTACAGCTATATGCTCATATCATTGTTATGTACAACACAACAATAACGGTTACTCAGCAAAATATCGAATGATTAGTCATAAAGCGGCAGTATCATTAAGCATAAACGCTTTGCGCAAATTTATTTTGTTTCAAATAAAAAAAATATACATACTCTACGTTAATATGCAGTATTTTCTAACATGAAAAAAAAAATAGCAATAAAAAGTTCAATCTAACGCTCTGTTTCCTTAACAATTTTTTTTTGTATAAACACAAACTAGAATTTATTTAAACGACAATATATTATTTGATGTTAATTTTTAATATATATATAAGGGTTTGCTTTATATTTTTTTAAATTTATTAAAAAAGGCGATTTTTCCAAAATATATACATACATACATAAAGTTATGCGCTAAATAAAGTGGAAATAATTGTTAACAAAAAATCTAACACACGCCTTGAGTTTACTTTCTATTATTAATTTAATTTTAATTTAATTCTGTAGTTAGACTTTTTCAGTTGTACACAACGTTGCTCTCGAGGAAATGTGCGTTATGGACTTTTTATTGTTGCCACAGAGAAAATACTTGTTTTTGCATAGTTTGAACATAATTTATATTGTAAYTTAGAGATTAATGAAATTTGTAAAGCTCTTTGCTCAAAGCATGAAATAATTTTTTACATCCTGAACGGGAATATTAAGTTTGACACGAAGTTGGGACACTGTAATATTTGTTGTAAAATTGGCCGTTTGTAGCTGGAACGTTTTTTTTAGCTAAAATTTGTCGATATTATTGAGCAAAAATAAAATAGAAAACAGTTCAACAAACCGCTGTTAGTTCAAATTGCAACAAAACGGCAAGATAACCTTAAATTTTGGATAATTTTATAACCGAAATGCCAACAAATTTCAATAGAATCCGAAAAAGCAGCTGGACATCTTTGCCAGACTAGTTTTTGTCTTCTCGCACCTCAAAAATTATACCATACTAGTTGTGTTTTTTTTTGCACCCATGTCGTTGTCTATCTCTGTCCCACCGAGCCATATAACGCCGGAATTAATTACGCCCACCTTATTCTATATTTCCTTGAGAGCAACTAACTCATAAAAATTATTTCCTCCTCCACAATCAGCACCAACCGGCAAAAAAGTTATAACCACAAGCACTGGCGCTGGCACCAGCAATGTAGCGGGCACTTCAACGATCACGACAGCAGTTAGCACCATACCGCAGGTGCAATCGGTACAATCGCTACACACATTACATACCGTGCAGGTGAAAAAGGATCCGGACGCTCAGAATCAAGGACAACAAACCATGACAGTGACCACCACGACCGGCGCTGGTGGTGGCCAGCAACAGCAGCAACAACAACAGCAAGTGCAACAAGTGCAGGTGCAACAGGCTACAACGCAGCAACAACAGCAACAGCAAATACAACATCATCAAATCATCGATCAATCGGGTAATATAACAACGGCTACGACAACGGGTGGTGGACAGCAGCAGCAACAGCAAACTGGCGGACAAATCGTAACACAAACCGAAAATACAGACGGCACAACATCGTTGTCCATTGCGCAGGTGCAAACGCTGCAAGGCCATCAAATACTGGGCAATATTAATCAGGTGAATATGAATGAATTTCAAACTCATTCACAGTTGTAAGATGGTTGGATGTTGATGATATGTTGAAGAAGATGATGATGTTAAGCAGCAGAACGATGCGCTGCTGCAGAATGTTATTTCTAGCGGGGCTTTTAGAAATAAATTTTAGTAATAAAAGCAAGATATTTTATAAACAAAACAATATGCAAACACAAATCCAGTGTGAAATAATTGCAACAAAACAGTCTAGACCAGCTTACTTTATTATGCCGACGCTACAAAGTGACTGCAACCATATAAATACATACAAACACCCACACACAAAATTTAACAGACACAAAAAAAGATTTTTTTTACGGCCAAGGACTATCAACTCGGCAACATTCCGCGAAATTACTTCAGGAATGTTTACTGCTGCTATAAGAACAAAAACAACACACACAAAACTTAAACCAAACCGCAACCCCACACAAGGCCAAAAACAAATGAGTACATTATGTACATGAATAATAGCAAATTAACTAGAAATATTATRAACTAATTCCTTTATACAATAACTACAGTTATATAATTAGTGYACGCGTGTGCTACCCCAAGCTGTTGCAACTTCCGCATATATACCTATTTGTAAGAAATAAGACATTTTTGCGTTAAAAAAAACAAAATACTTCAAGTAGAAAAGGTGAAGAACATCCAAAGTTGTTGCACACTACTAAATTTTGCTGCCTTATTTCCCTGTGCTACTATATTATTGCGTGCATTCAATAACTTCTTAAAGTAATTTTATGCTATATATCGTCACCTAAAATGCAAAAAAACGTATAATCAAAAAATTTAAATTGTTTTTTTTTTTATTGATTACCATTCACTACATCATATTACATATATGTAGCATACAATTTTCAGCTGCCACTGTCAGAAATAACCAATAGATAACCAATATATAACTTATGGATAACCAGTTTACAATCGATAGTTAACCATTTTATAACCAAAACTCAATTTTTTCAATATGAATGGTTTCTATTATATCGTTTTCTTTTGCCTGTAAATTTATGAAAAGTGACGTTACGTTATTTTGCATTTTAGGTGGCGATGTATACTTTATAAACATAGATAACTGTTATTATAATGGAACAACTTAGCTTTGACAAAATTCGTTTGCTTTAATCTTTAAATTTAAACATATAATACTTAGTTGGTAGTTGTAATATAGACAGCTTACAAAATGAAATGGTTGTAAGTAGCATTAAGTTGGTACTAGGTACTCAAAACCTTCTACTTAGAGAAAAAACTATTATTTTCAATTTAAAAAACTATTACTTTAAATTAAAAAAAAAAACTATTTAATTTTTATATTTCCCAAAAATAGTGCGTAAATTGAAATAAAAACGTTTATTTTCTTTAAATTTCCGCTTATTACCTACCACATATTTAAATTTAAAACTAATTTTAGTTTTTATTTATTGCAACCAAATAACGGTTGTTTACTTAAAGTTTACTTATTATTATACATTTCATTATGGTTATGAAATATGGTTTAGTACACACAACACTGTTAGAATGTTTGAACAAAAAAAAAAAAAAAAAAAAAAAAAAAAAACCTTTATATATTATTTTTATTTTGTAAAATTTAGTGCATACAAACAAATTATGAAAATATGATATAGAAATTTACAATTTACGTTAATAGCTGTGCGAGGTTTCAAGGGTTAGTTTTCAAACGTGGTTGACTAGTTAGGTTAATATTGATTTTATAAAATTAAATTCGTTAGCTATGCGTTACATGAAATTAAATTTTCATTAAACATTTTTATTAAAAATTAAAAAAAAAAAACATGTATATTAATTTAAAACTTTTAATATAAAAATATCTTGCTTAAAATTTCTATTAAAATTTTTCTTAAAACAAAAAAGCTATGATAAACAAATTCTTATACTATTTAGTCAAAATTTTAGTCAATATATTTTCTTATTGAACATTTTAAATTAATATATATTTTCTTAACTTTTAAATGAAAAATTAGTTTAATGTTATCATGTTATGTTTTTATCAGAAATTTTCTTTAAAAAAATTGTATTCATTTTTT